TATATAAATATACACACACACATATCTATATATATATATATATACATATCTATATATATATATATATATATAGTGTAATTGTACTGATTGTAAATAAGCTGACAAAACAAGTTTACTTTTAATTTGTTTCATTTTACAGTAACTTTAACTAAAACTGTTGTTTATGAGTGTTTGTCTTTGGTTCATTTGTTTTCTTGAGGTTCAATAATTAAAAAAATAAAATAATTTTGAATTATTTTTAACTGACAGTAAAATGCAGAGAGCGCAACAACTGTGTGAATGGCAAATAAAATATTATGATTTACATATTTTACTTCTTTTTGTCTCATTATGAACCCTTTTTGCTTTTTCTCTCTTCTTGTTCTTTTTGTCTTCTCCTTTCTCCCCGTGTTCTTTCCATCTTTCTCCTTCGTTCTGTTTTTCCGCTCCTTGTTTCTTCTTTAAATATTATTCAACTCACGATGAACTTCTTCATCGGTCATTCAGCGTGCGGTACTCACCGAGGTTTCCAGAAAAAGCCCATGTTCTTGTTGTGAGATATGAATTACTTCTCTTAACGATGCACTTTTCATATTTTATTAAAAGACAAAACCAGCTCTGAGCTTCAGACACAGAAAATGTAACCAGTCAGACCAGTGCCTTTTATGGTTTCATACTGAAAATCTAAATGTTCCACTTTAAAGATCCAGCAGGTAAATAGAACTGACTGATTTTAATAAAGATGCAGCTGCAATAATAATAATAATAATAATCTATAATAAAATACAGATAATAAAAACCAACTTTGTCTTTTATTACGCATCAAATAAAAGTTGTTGGGTTGTTTTCAGTCAAAACGTCCTGAACAGTCGCTGGTTTTTCCAGTTTGCCTCTGCTTCTTCTTTAAAAGCAACGTGGGCCAAAAGGTCAAGTCAAGGTTCTTTATCGTCGTTCACATCACACATGGTACATGTGGTGGAATGAAACTGTGTGCACTGGGTCCCAGTTACAGCCAACAAAAGTATAAATTGTAAAGAAAAACATTAATAAGATCTAAGATATGAACTAAGAAATACACTTAAACCTTAAGAACGGTCGCGAGAGTGGCTAAATATTCAGGCAGGAAATAAGTTCATGTGACAAACTGCTGGGTCGGTTCTGTCTGAGTTCAACAGGAAATTTAAATATAGCAGGAATTAGGAGATTTGTTTTGGATATCTACTGAAAAGTGTCTGAATATGACAAAAGGACCTGCAGCTTCGGTTTAGTCCCTGAAGGATTCTCACGCCCACATGCAGAACAATGAAACAACTGATAAAATCCACTTGATCCTTTCGGTGAAGGAAAATATCAACCAGGAAAATTCGGATTAAAAGCCGGGGAAAGTTGGGCGTGGGCATCCCTCAGTGGATCACAAAGACACTGAAATACAATCTCACAGATTTTATGACCAAAACAAACAGGTAAACTCTTCTGGTGAGCTGATGTTTTGTGGAGTTCCCCAAGGATTTACACTCAGCCCATTTTTATTTATAAGATCCCTGCAGGAAGTAGTGATTACTGGCTCAACAGAGTCCTACACAACCTGGCCAAACCTGCCGCTACATCTTTTTTTTCTGTTTTTATTAAGTCATAAAAGGAGTTTTTAACATTTGAGGCAGATCCATCCTTAAGGAAATCACTTTGAAACAGTAATCCGTGTCTTTGTCGCCACCCGGCTGGATGACTGTAACACTTAGTGAGTTAGTGGATCAAACTAGGCTCAAGCTCTTTTTTATTTACGCATGTTTGAAATGTATTTCTGTCTTAGGTGAGCCATAATTTAAAGTTGACTCTGTACAAAATTTTGGTTTTGCTTTACAACAACGTTGGACTGGAACAGCGAATACAGTTTCAGATTCATGTAGTTTATACAAATATATCTTTAAGGGACTGATTTTTTGATTATGGCGTTCCTCAGGGATATTTACTGGGCCCTAGAGCTGCTGCCTCTCAGCGAGCAGGTCCCTGGTTCAAACCCCGGTCCAGGGGCCTTTCTGGGTGGAGTTTGCATGTTCTCTCTGTGCATGCGTGGGTTTTCTCCAGGTACTCCAGTTTCCTCCCACAGACCAAAAACATGCATGTTAGGCCGATTGGTAACTCTAAATTGTCCCTAGGTGTGAGAGTGAATGGTTGTTTGTCTCGTTTGTCTCTATGTGTCCCTGTGATGGACTGGAGACCTGTCCAGGGTGTCCCCCGCCCCTCGCACAGTGATTGTTGGACATGGGCACCGGCGACCCCCGTGACCCAAAATGGAAGAAGCGGGTAAAGATAATGGATGGATGGAGATATAATATAAATTATTTGTTTTTATATTTATTAAAGGCAAGCAATCTTGAAATTGTGTTTTTGTCTGTTAGCACAATATCACATCAACCACATAATACATTTTTAATAAAACTTTCAGAAAGTAATTATTGAATGAACTTCTGCAACTGTTGAACTTTTGGTGGCAACCTAATCCAAAATGGCCACCCCAGGAAATCAGCCTTAATGCAGTTTCTCAAGGGGCTGCAGCTAGTTGGTTTTCATGAGAACATCTTTAAAATGTCTTAATTGTTTGCAGGATTCTCAGAAGTGACGGGTGAGACCCTCGGAGTCATTTTGACAAGTTACTTTTACGTTTACGCCCTGCGCCTGTAATGAACGGTTCTGTGTGGTTCGTTCGCAGTCTAGAAGCAGAGGGGGAACATCTCCTACAGCACCACCTCCTACTTGTTGAGACGTGGACGAACAATACGCCACTGACCCCAGAAAACGTTGCTCCATTTATCAACAGAAACTTTGGCTTTTAAAGTGTCACTCATTGTCTGAACACTCCTCAAATATAGAAACTAAGCTGGTAAGATGGTTTCCACACCAGGGAGGTCCGGGGGACCGGGTGCAGACTGAAGTCCAAGTTAACACCATCCTTTGGTTTGGTTGGCTCTTTGAAAGGGACCGAGCTACCTGGACATGATCCAGTATCAGTCCGTCTTATTCTTGATTGATGGTAGGATCGAGATGGATTGAAAGATTGGGGTCTCGTCCTCAATAATGAGGGTGTTGCTTTGGTCCATCAGGGTGAAGAAAAAGTCTAAAAGACAAAGTTCTGGATTTACTGGTCTGTCTATGTTCCAACCCTCACCTGAGGAGATCCTGGATTCAAGTGGTTGAAATGAGACTCCTCCGTAAGGTAGGGAGGCTGTAGAGATAGTATGAGGAGCTCCGTCACACGGAGGGAGCTCGGAGTAGAGCTGCTGCTCCTCTGCATCAATGGAGTCAGCTGAGGTGGTCCATCTGTTAGGACGCCTCCCATTGAGGTTTCCAGGCATGTCCCAGTAGAAGGAGGCCCCGGAGAAGACCCAGAACTCTATAAAGGGAATCCTGTCTTGCCTGGGAGCACCTTGGGGTCCCTCAGGATGTGCTGTAGTGTGTCTCTGGGAAGGAGGAGGTCTGGGTGTCCCTCCTGGACCTGTTGCCCAACCCAACCATGGATGAGAGCATGGATGGGAGGACCACAGCGCCTGGACGAGTTACAACAGCTGCTCCTTCAGGTCGGCATTTCTCTAAACAAGCTCCGACTATGAAGGAAATAAAAACGCGAGGAAGAGGGAAACCAGACTTTCTGACTGGCCAAGACCAAAAACTGAAATCCTTCAGCCGACTCAACAAAAACAAACGAAGCGGCACCAAATTGACGACGTTCCAGTTTTTACGTTAGCGCTCAAACCCACGACTTTCTGTCCCTACATTTTGTTTCCAGTGAGACAGCTTTTGAAAGTTTAGCAAACGCTCACTTACGGTCATTTGAATTATTTTATTTGACCTTTTTATCACCAGGAGGGACATGAAGAACAGTCTCATAAACTCAAGAGGTCTTGACCACAACAAAAGATCCTGGACAGAAGAAAAGTGAAACAAAAATGGAGCTGGCTCAAAGTTTTTGCACTTTGTCCAAATTTTATGATAAATCCAATAAGTCCTCTCCGCTTTGAAAATCTTAATTTTACGTTGAAAGAGAAAAGAAACGCATGTTTTAAGTTCATTCTTTTCTTTATTGCCCAACTTTCCAAGGTTTGTAAAACATTTAAAGCCCATTTCAGACTTTTCCCAAACGCTGCAGAGCATCACGGCATTCTTTATTTATAATTCCTCCTACACGCTCTTACTTAATAATTACACTTTGTTGCATAACGTGAAAATAAATCTGCAGCTTTGTTAACCGAGCCGACTGCTGCGGGTTTTTTTTTTAACAAGGAAACGATCAGTAACTTCCAGTTCGTGCCCCACCAGGGAGCAGAAAGCAAACAGACACAGAGGAAATGAGAAGTGTAAGAAGTATTAAACGCTCGGAGTAAATTGATATCAGGTAGCTGAAGGCGTCACACCTGGAATTACTTAATTTCCTCCGTGTGACAGTAAACACAGCAAGAGGTCACCTGTGAGAGCGCTGGGGTTTTTGATGACCTATTTTGGTTGAATCGGGGGCGGAGGTTGATGTATAAAGGGCCGAGGCTCAGACAAGTTGTCACATCAGCACCTTCAGACAGGTCGGTGAGCACGAGCAGAAACTTTTTACTCCTCTCCACGTCGTTCTGACACTTTCTGCTTCTGTCCTGCAGCCGAAACGCTCTCCTCTCCGGATTAACGCCCACTTGCAACATGAAGCTCGACGCCGCCACCATCGCCTGCCTCCTCCGCCCGGCAGTCGCCACGCTCGCTCTCCTGCTCCTGATTGGTTGGGTGGAGGCGGCGGCGGCGCACCCGTTTCACCGGCTGCTCAGCCGGCCGCTGCAAGACCCGAAGACGCACGGCGCCGTCCAGTTAGTGTCGCAACACGTGAGTGTTCGCTCAGAAAAACAGCGTTCTGAATTCAAACAGACCTTGGATTTGATTTTGTGTCAAAGGTGAAACTTGGAGCACTTAAAAACTAATTGTTTTAGTTTAAAATCCCTCCCAGGTAAAGACGTCAAACCTTCATTCAACTAAAGTGCTCAGGGGCCGAACATCCAGCAGTTGTTGTCATTAACTTTGTTTAATGGTTTAAAATCTAGTTTTATTTAAAAACTAACCCCAAGGTGGGCCCAGCTGAGCTCACCTGTGGGCCTGATTTGGCCCCCGGGCCATCAGTTGAATTTAAACAGAACTTTATACTTTATTACTCAGAAAATGTGGATTCTGTTTAGAAAGAAACGCTTAAATTCAACCTCGGTCGATTCATTTGATCAAATGGTCCAGTTACCGAGGAGGTTACTGTTGGAGCTCGACTAAAACTGAATGTTGTGCTTTTAATGTTTTAATGGTGATAAATGTCACACCTGAAGCTCATTTCATGGTTCTGATGGGGAACATGAGACTTATCATGGTTCTGATGGTGAACATGAGACTTCTCATGGTTCTGATGGTG